ATGACTTTCTCTAAAAGTTCCATGCTTAGACTAATGAAGGCATACCGCATAGGGTTCAGTTTATTCAAATTTAACTGTCATCTATATCCCTGATGCAAAGCGGTCTCAACTATGCTTCTTTGTCCCCTGCTTTGTTCGATTTGTTCAAGGAACATCGTATGAAACTAACCTTCACTATGGAGAACGAAATGCTCTACTCAATCTTTACCAAAAATATGCAGATAACTCCTTTGTCATGTGCAAAAGGCGCAGTTTCTAGGATATCCGAAGAAGCATAATTCTGTTCGCTATAGAGGAGGAGAATGGTAGTTTTTACGGTTCAGAGATTTACTTGTGAAACACTAGCAGGGCAGATATTCCACCAGGTTCCATCGCAAGAAGGCACATGCTAATCGATATGTGCATTGCACTTTCTACGATTCTTGAAACATTCAGAAGGGCATAATCAAGGTGCTTCTCCAAAGGGAATGAAAAATCTGTGCGACAGAGATGATTTCCTTAAAAAATTCAACCGTGCCAGGTTAATTTTGTAAGATACGGATAGACATGGAAGCGCCAGGCAACATTTTTTGGGTACTCTGTGCTTGGCCCTAATGTTCTAGATGGCAATAGAATCAAGAAAAACATCTATGGAAGAGAAATATCACTCAGTGAAGCTGTTCAATAGTTTTGACAAAAGAAATGAGAAAACACACCCTCGCTACCATTTTGCAATAAGTTCGTAAGCTGTGCGACAGGCATTCGATGTACTTCGTGAGACACCGATGTGAAAATTGCGTTCATAACTGGCAGGACACTTCCAAACCATCTCTGTCGCGTTAAAACTACGATACCGGAAGGACAAAAACAAGATTAGGTGTATAAGCATTCATGTTCCTCTGATTCGATGCATATTGGTGAAGCGGGCAAAATCTGCGAAGAAAGAAGACCCATCATAAGAAAGACCTAATCAAATAGCAAAATGCACATGCAAGAAAAGGAGATCAGAAGCAAGAAGACAGAGGAAAGAAACAAACAAAGGATTCCAAGAATATTCAATCGAAATGTCAGAAAAATTCAATTATAGTATGACAAGTAGTAATCCATCCAGATAGTGATAAAATGAATAAGATTTCGAGTGGGATAAACCGCATGTCATCCGTAAAATCAAAGAAGGATTGCGGATTCGAGCAATCAGCAGTTTCAATCGGGACCTTGGCTCAGATGTCATCGACACATGAGCCAAATGTATCAAACCGTTACGGACTACTTTCCCATTAATCATATGCACCAGCCTGACCTTCCTAGAACCGCGGTCATTCAAAAGGAACAGTTCATTTGAAAATAGACCGAGCTCACTCCGAAACGCCGATACGCACTGTAAGATATTTTTAATTAAAAATATTTCGAATTAAATTTCGTGCGTAACTTTTTCCGTGACTTGCAATATATTTCCCACATTAAGAACTCCTGCGCTATTTGCATGGTTTTTTGCTTGATCATCTGTACTTGTATGGACTGAAAATCGTAGTTGTGCTCACAGCCACATATATTGTTTTCCTATTTTGAGAGTCATTTGTTTATTTTCTGTACTCCTAAGAAAGTTAACTACCAACTTGTACTTTAATCCAGCTTGGTTATATATCGATTGAAAAATACAATACTTTGTTATTAGCAGCTGTTGATTCGCAGGATATGGAAGACACTGTGGCGAAATCAAACGTAGTGATAGATGTTGATACGTATTGCGCAGGATGAATTAGCTCTCTGTGAGTTTTATTCTGAAAGTTCGGTGCTATCTTGATATTTATTTTATTTGAATAGACGTTTGAATTGCTTTTGCTGTTATTTGCGCGTTCAACGTCGAAGTAAAGATTTATAGATTAAGTGGTGATTTAGCGATAACGCTTTTACCTTCGTGCCAGTTCGCTATATATTGTTGCCCTAGTATTACACTGTTTAGCGAATATTAGAAACTTGCTGGTACTCGCGCTGAAGACAACAGAATGTCGACATCGAAATCGGAACAACGGGAGGTTGTTCTTGAGTAAGAAATTATGAATTAGTCAATAAAAGTCGTACTGCAATTATTTTACTTTTAAAGTACTCGTTCAAAACAATTAACTTGTTACACGACAGTTTTTTGTGCTATGATGTGATGTCCTTCGTGTATCGCATGATTCTTTGAGATCTAACAAGATAAACTGATCTCAGACAACGTAAATCTTGGTTTATGCGTGCGTCGTTTTAGAATTTTTTGAAATGCGTCATATTCTTCTCAGATGTAATCAGTTTGATGGTAGGACAACTTTATCACAAACACAGCTTGTCGAGAAACAAATTCGCGATTTATTTATTAGGTTGTGCTTGCATTACTTAGCCATCTGTAACTAAACAGTCATTTGATCTGTTGATGCCGGCTGTGTTTTTACTCGTTCAGCCGATGCATTATCATTATTAATCGGTGTTAACTGAGTGGAGTCTAATCTTTTCCCGCCCGGTGCATATGTTTACGTGAGTGGGCTGGACAGTCATTCTTGCTCAGTCAGTCCGACAGACCTGGTTGTCTTTGTATTACTTAGCCACCTGTAGCTAAACAGGCATTTTGATCTGTTGACGTCGGCTGCATTTTTAGTCGTTCAGCCGATGCATTATCATTATTAATCAGTGTTAGCTGAGTAGAGTTTAATCTTTTCCCGCCTGGTACATAGGCTTGCATGAGTGGGCTGGACAGTCATTCTTGTTCACTCAGTCCGACAGACTTGGTAGAAATGTCATCTTCCTGGGATATCACTTGGGCTTCATGCATTGACTATAAGCAAAATTGTTCTGTAATTTTGCTTACATGAAACTTACTAGCCAATATCTGTATCAGCATTGTCCATAAATTTTGTTATAACGATTATTTCCAAACCACCCAACTTTACGAATACCCCACTGAAGCGAAGTGCAATCCGTTTTTAACTTTAGTGTTACCTGTAAATACTGTTTGCCAGCTTTGATGAGCCTAATTGCGTATATTCGAAGTAAGCGATAAACATATTCAGTTGATAGATTAATAAAGAAATGGTTAGAAGTCTGGGGAAAATATTTTAGAATTACTTTTAACCTACAGCAGTGTTCGTTATTTACTTATTTACCGTAACATGGTTCCGAAGGCTTCAGGTAATAAACACATTTTTCCAGACTTCTAACCATCTCTATATTTAGCTGTTGTTTTCGGGATACGCGTTTTATGCGTCATCTAGCTGCCGTGGACTTTACTGAGTAAAACTAAGGAACTCCTCGTTAATGGCATGGAAATGGGGATCAGCACCCTCACTATTAACTTCATGAAAATAAGGAAGATTGACATTCGAGTGGCTAAAAAAAATTACTTTGCTGTTTCCCAATTGAATATCCAGGTAACGTGAAGAACTTTTTATGAAAAGTACAGAAAACCTTTTTTCCTTAAGCTCACTGATGGAAAACAGATTTTGTCCTCATGGAGGTGGTAAATGGGCCCATTTCGTTGTTATAAAGCTGCATCGCTTTCTCAAAGTTTTAGTACTTCAGATGGATTGATTAAACTGGTGCATTTTTAAATCACTGCTCATAAACATACAAATATTTACTTTTGATAGGAGAATCATCATAAATTTTGCTGGAAATCAAGGTTTCCTTTTACTTTACTTCAAATTTATAAAATTCTTTAGAAACCAGGCCCACCTTCGCAGTGTTTATGAAATGATCAGTTTCAGGCACGATGAAGAAAATGAACGCAGCAGAAACGAAGCACCCTCATTGAGGGAAAAGTCGATCAAGATCGCTCTGGTAGTTATACTTTACTGGTAAAGTTATAGCGCTTTTCGGAAGTATTTGATAAGAATGACTATTTTTTAGGTTCTGTTCTATCACGTTGGTGTTCCTCAATAAATACTTGCTTAGCAGCGCAGAAATGAAGGTAAATTGTGTAGATAAAATGGATAATTTTTAATATACATAACGAATGCTACCGTCATTACCTCATCAACTGCATTTTGTATTCTTTCAGTTGACAATATACTGTCTGCCTTAACTGTTGATTAAAAGTACTTTGTCATTTACCGTACTATACAGCATTGCAGACACCTGAAACGTTGCAACACCATTAATTTGAACAATGCCAGATTATTGCATATAACAGTTTGCGTACTACTGCCGGGCGTCATAACGC